TAAGGAAGTCATTTTCATTTCTGTCATTATCTATCTGTCTGCATCTAATCTCACAAACTACTGGATCAGTCAGCCTAATATTTTGTATTCATATTTATGCTCACAGACCTCTTGTAGCTGTGGTGATTAATGGTCATGGTTCAGAGGGAGCTGAGCCTGAAGGCAGAGTTTTTGATTTCCTGGTCCATCTCCGTCCCAACCCTCATCTATGGTCATGAGCTCTGGGTAGTAACCGAAACAATGAGGTCACGGATACAAGCAGCCGAAATGAGTTTCCTCTGTAGGGTGTCTGGGCTCAGCCTTAGAGATAGGGGAGTCAGGAGTCAGACATCTGGAGGGAGCTCGGAGTAGAGCTGCTGCTCCTTCACGTAGAAAGGGGTCAGTTTTGGTGGTTCAGGCATCTGATCAGGATCCTCCTGGGCTCCTCCTGTTGGAGGTGTTCCAGGCATTGGTAGGAGGTCCTGGGGCAGACCCAGAACACACTGGAGGGATTGCATATCTCATCTGGTCTGGGAACACCTCGGGGTCCTCCAGGAGGAGGGGGACATCTGGGGTGCTTTGCTCAGCCTGCTGCTCCTGTGACGCGGCCCCGGATAAACGGATGGATGGATGGATAGATGGATGGATGGATGGATGGATTGACTACCGACTCCTTACTTTTGACCACCCGGTAGGGGCAGCAAGGTTTTTGAAAATTGTCTTGGCTAAAAACACAAAACAACAAGCCTTACCGCAGCGGTTGTTGCTCAGGCGGTAGAGTGAGTCGTCCACTACACTAATGTGCAGGTCAGGGTTTTTGTAAAACCTGCACCAACACGGCCCATTACAAGAACCAATCCGCCCCACCCGATTTGTAGACATATGCAATACTCAATGGCCTGAACCCGACCTGCAAACCAAAGCTGGAGGTTTCTCCTGATGACATACTTGCTGTTGGCTGCACTGTCTGTCTGTCCAGTAAATATCACAACATAAAACGTTTTCTGTTTTAATAAGAACAATATTTGCAGAGGGAAATATTTTAATCTGACAATATTTCTGAAGAGATTTCAATATGTCAGACTTCAGTAGATTTTCCTGGTCAAAAGCTGAACAACAGAAAACCTGAGTGCAGCAGTGCTGACGAGGGAAGAGAAGGTGGAAGTTGGAATATTGCACAGTATTTGTGTAAGTTATAATAACTTACTAAGAACACTGCTCTGTCACTTTAAGAGCTGCCCACCTGAAACCTGCAACATTTTCTAACGAGCTTATCCGACCCACGAGTCAGGTTCTGCAGGCTGTGGGTCAACACGAATGTCACTGGTGTCCACGGTGCTGTTAATGTCCTCCACAGTGATCTAAGCTAGACAGAAAGAGCGTTGTTCAAAGTAATGAGGACTGACTGTTGCATCAAACCAGCAGCAACATTTCCGACTGATGTTGGTTTTAAGCAGCTTCTTCTTTAGCCAAAGATTCAGTGTCACAGCCCAGTGTGTAAACCTGCTGAAAGAGATCACCGCCATCACTGATTGTCATCAAATCCTGGTGCGTCCAAGTTGAAATAAACTAGATAGAGGCTCGCAGAGGGTTAGGATCAGGTGTGAATCAGAAACTGAGAATTTTTGGTGGAGAAAAAGAGAATGGGAGTGAGTGGGTGCATCAGTATAGTGAGCACGGATTATTTCAAACAGAATCTCTCTGAGTCTGATCAGTTCTGTAATATTTGTTGTTCCTGCTTTAAACATTTGTCCCTAAAAACATACCTGTCTTTCTATCTTATCCTCTGAGTGTCTCTCTGCTTTGATGGATGTGAGCTGGTTATATTCAGGGTTATTAACAGTTCACAGATACAGTATGTACTACAGTGGAACATCAGCTCATTTGTCTTGTTCAGACCTGATGGGAAACATTGTGGAAACCCTGTTTCAGTTTTACAGGGATATCATTACAAGGCCACAGAGAAATACCAGCTGATTCCTGCTGCTGCCTGATAAAGCCATAGGTGTGCTGTCTCACCCTGATACCGCCGCCGCACACCTGAATCTCATTCTGACGGGAGATTGTGCCTGCTGGGGATGAACATATATCATTTTTTGGAGATGGGATGTTTTCAGAGGAGTGTGTAGATGTGAATGAGGTGATGAGCTGAGTGGAGGAGAGGCCTTTAAATTTTAACTCACCACCTTCCTCTGACTGTGTGAGGGAGGTTTAATGCATGAGGTCTGACAGGTGGAGTAATGCTGCCCTCTGCTGGGGGCTTCTTGTAATAACGTATATCAGTAGGTGACTGCTGTTTATGGTCCCATCCAGAAAAGAAAAGGTTGCATTTATTAATTTATTTCTGCTTGTCTATGTTTTGGAGGATAATGTTTATTTAAGTGGTTTTCTACAAACCATCTGACAGGTGTTCCTGTATTTCCTGTTGATCTCGAGTCAGACTCTGTGCTGTGGTGGCAGGATGTAAAGCAGTCAAAGCCCACAGCTGTTATTGTGTTAATTATTTTACTTTATAGACACATTAATATGAGGGAGTGGCTGTGGCTCAGGAGTGTAGGGACGCAGCACTAAATCCTGGGCCCCATGCATCAGCAGTCTCTGCAGGGCCCTTCATCTCTTTATTAATTTCTCTCTCTCACACCTTTTGAATTTCTTTTACAAAGTCACTTTGCTTTCTTTTCCTTTTTTTCTTTCATTCTTTTCTTGATGTCCCTATCATGGGGAACGACATGACAGTGTACGTTGATGCTCCAGCAGCATAAGCAGCCTCTCTTTCTGTTGTAGCTTCATTTAGTGCGGGGGGTGAGAGGAACCTCAGGGAGCTTCCACCATATTTTTGTACAAAGTTCAGTCTTTCAGCAGATACATTAAGCCCATTGCAGTTCAGTTGTGTAGAGCAGGTCGTCCACTACTTGGAAGATTGCTAGTTTGATACTTTGCCATGCAGTCTGGAGGAGCTGGGGATCATTTACAGATTACCCTGCAGGTCAGGGGTCAGAAACTTTTACTCAAATAAATCTATTTGGATCCACAAAACATATTTGAGCCTCATTATAAACATAACACAGCCTTTTAAGTCATATTCAGCCTGTCAACCTTACATATAGATGTAAATAAATAATATTTATCTGTATAGCACTTATCTAAACAAGGTCACAAAGTGCACAGAAATAAGACAACAAAACTTTACAAAGGAAATAAAACACAAGTTACAAATCACAAAAATACAAGTCAGGCATTAAAAAGGGAAGCTTTCCTTTAAAATATGCTTTAAGCAATGATTTAAAAACAGGCAATGTGCTAGCCGGCCTGATCTCTTCAGGCAGAATTGACCTATGGCTAAGCCACGCCCCCTCCACTCACTCAGACAAACTATCAACATTCAGTGAGCGGCGCTATGGCAGGTGTCACAGTACACGGCATTTCACATGAGGCAATTGATGATTTTTGGAGACATAATTATCAGATGTCATTGAGAAGTAACCAAAAGGGCCTAAACTACGCATTGGAGGGATATATTCATCATTTTATTGTTGAGAAGGTCGATGAAAAGCTTAAATTACAAGCCAAAATTTACAGGTCACAGTGTACGCTTGTGAACCGCATCTGGTTGCCGTCACTATCAAAGACAACAAGTTAAAGTGCCACTGAAGTTAAGGTTTTTGGCTCAGAATATGAGAAAAGGATAACGGCCTTTTTACCATCTTTACCAAGAGTGTCTCTCCGTTAGTTTGGTGCTACAGTATTTACACTGAATCATTCAGCATAACGTTTGCCAACCTTTGTTATCTCTGCCATTACAGATAAGTTAATGAAGCTAAGCTCCAGAAGTTAACGTTAGCTTAACTAGAGCCCTTTGGACAACAGCTAACAATGATGTACTATCACCAAAGTACAAAACTAGAACAAAATAGGCTAATGAACTCCCAGCAAACAAGGTGACATGATGAACAACGCAGCTAGGAGCTAACGTTAGGCTAACTTTAGCTAACGTTAGCTAGAGATGTTAAAGATAACTTTATATTTCTTTCCAGCAAAGTGACAATATGTTGCCTCAAACACAATGTTGACTTACCTTAGAACAGATGTAGACATCATTGTTAATCTTATTCACGTTGAGTTGATGTTGTGGTCTAACGTTACCACACAACTTTATCCAAAGGAGACACTTTTCTCGCTTGAGATGTGGTTTAAAGTGTAAAAAATACACCTGGTCGCCCAGCCTCTCAGGATACCTTGTGTCAGAGTTGCATGTACCCCATGCACACCGTTTGACCATTTTTAAACTTCAAATCTCAGAAAAAGCTCATTAAACCGAACAAACTGACTTTCTGTAATGCATTTCAATGGACGTCCAGGCAGAGAATGTCCCAGTGTATGGGTATGGCTATACGCACTGTGATTGGCTCATCACGTCTGAGGGCGGGGCTTTGCCATAGGTCAGTTACAGAGCTTCGGGCCTTGACAACAAAAGCCCGGGCACCTCTAGTTACCAGCCTTGATCTAAGGACGACATGTGAGGGTTGATCTCAGGTCATAACATGGAGTGTAGGTAAGGTAGTCAGAAGCTCAGCTATGTAACTCGGCGCTAAACCACGTTAAGCTTTAAAAGTTATTCAAAGTGTTTAAGTTCGAAGTGCTCCGGTAAAAAACCAGGCATCTAGAGCGCAGAAGCACAAGGTGCGTAGTGGCGCAAAAACAGCGCGCAAAAAGCTTCATTCTCATTAACAACAAAAAGCTGCCTCCAGCTGCTCAAACTCTCTCTGTGTGATCTGAGCTGGTGTTTTTGTGTTGAATATGTGCATGTGTGACACAGCTCTGGTGAACACTAGAGATGCTCAGTTAGCTTTAGAACAACTAATCCATTAACTTTATAAATCTAACAGAGACAGAGGTTAAAGCTCAGCAGCCTGGAGGAGTTTTATTATCATCCAGTCCTGGTTGAGTTCATCAGACTGGTGCAGCTCAGAGTGCTACTGGCCCTTTAAGACTCTCTCTGTCGCCTTGGTTACAACCCGGAAGTAACACAGCGTCTTTAGCATGTGAACAGATGTGTCTTTAAACGTTTCAGTCCTGTTGTTCGCTTTGCCTTCAACTTTTACCAACTGTAGTTCCTCTCTGACACAGATAGGTGAGTGCTGAACACACACAGCGTCACGTCACGGGTTTATTCCGCTCCTCTTTCACCGATAACGCCGACTCATCTGTTAGCTGCTATGCTAACACCTGCCTCTGCTCCGCTAGCCTCCGTGCTAACGCTAAGCTAACTTGGAGTGTGTTAGTTTGTATCGACACGGCTGATGTGCTGCATGACAACATGAATATATGACGTTATGAGTCTTACGTGTTTCTGTTCAGTTTCACTTCATGAGCTCTGCTGTAACGTCGCTGTCCATGGTGCTAACACACACACACACACACACACGCGTGTTTGCTGACAAGGACAGATCTTCAGAGATGCAGGTCCTCAGGAACGTGAAGGAGAACTTGAAATCTAGCAGCCACTTGCAAATTTTAGGGTTATTTTTAACTGAGCAAATGTTTTATTACATTGAAAACTTGTGTAAGTGGAAAAAGGCTCCTTTTTGAGCACAACTACAATAAAGGTGAGATTCTCCATCTGGTTGCATTTGTTTCCCCCCAGTGTCATAGTTAAGCAAATGTACACGGTATGATAACCATCATGGTTTACCTTAAAACCAGTATACCACTTCAACCCTATTTGTGTCTGGTATGATAAAAAAGCTAAACTGATGTGAATGAATGAATTTTGATTATTGCATCATGTAAACATGCCTGCGTGGGCTTACAAGACACCATAGAATCAAAACAAACCAGTACCAGCGTCTGACGTGTTTTACATGTTTAATCAGTTCATCGTTGTGTAAGATGATATCATGGATCACTTACAAGACTTTTACTGTGCAAAAAATCAAAGTAAGCACTAAGTAAACTGTCTGCCTTCCTTCACAATCTGAAATCTGATCAGATTACTGTTGAACAACTGAGTTCTCAGCACCAGAAAACCTCAGGGTTTACACCAGCCATCTCAAGGAACATTAACTCTTTGTAGTCGTCAGTTTGAACAGTAGGGCTGCAACTAATGATTATTTTCATTGTCGACTAATCTGTCGATTATTTCTTCGATTAGTTGACTAATCATTTTTTCAAAAAATGTGCTAAAATGTTGAAAAATGCCAGTCTGTCTCTCCCAAACCCCAAAATCATGTCATCTAATGTCTTGTTTCGTACTCACGCCAAAGGCTTTTAGTTCACCGTCATGGGAGAGTGTGTAAAGCTGCCAATATTGGAGCATAAGAAGCTGCAGTAAGAGTATTTTGGGTACTTTTATAGTACTATTCTAAGAAAAATGACTCAAACCAATTAGTCGACTACTAAAATAGATTATTTTAATAGTCGATTAGTCATCGATTAGTGGATTAATCGTTGCAGCCCTATTGTACAGTATAAAAGAAAATGGGAATCACTTTCCATTTTGCCCAAATCACACAAATCACACATTCTGTTTTCCTCCTGAATGTATTTAAGTGTCCAGAGGAAGGACACCAGCTCTCAGCTGTGCTACTAAAGATCTTTTGCTTCGAGGTGAATAAGATGTCACACGCATTATACTTTATGTACTTCTGGACACAAGATGTTGTCAAAAGTATGTCATTTAGTATGTCCCAATACAGAGTACGTCAAATGCAGTGTGCCAAAAATACCAGTATGTTCTACTACATCCAGTCTGATTGTTCAGTCTGTTATTCTGACCCACAACCCTCTGCACAGCATACATCACATAGACTGAGCTGCAAACAGATGACAGTTTGACAGCTGATTGACAGCTGTCAGAGGCTACAATGATGAATGACAGCACATTCAAGTGACTGATGACAAGTCAAATAGTAATAATAGAAATATTGATTGTTTAAGTGAACAAAGTAATCATTAATATTACAAACAACAACAGGAAATAACTATAAAAATAACACTGACAGAACATCAGGTGTAACTTTTAACACTGTCATAAATATAACATGTTAGAATCTACAATCTGTGAAGTTATAACTTTAAAGTTTAACACCAGCAGAGCTCTCTGGGTTGAACACCATCTCTGGTGAATTCAGTAAGTGCCATTTGTTTCATCTCCAAGTTAACGGATATAAAAGCAACAAGGGTCAAAGTTCAGGGCCTGATGTTAGAAAGTGTCCAGATTGTGTGCATAGTGCATGTAACAGCACGTAGTTTTTAAGGGCAGCTGCAGCAGCTACTGAAAGTAAAAAGAAAAATTATATGATTAGAAACGCTCCCTCGGTGTTTGTGGAGGCTTTTAGTTTCCACATCACACTTGATGTTTAAGTCTCTCACTGGTGGTGATTTACCAGATTCTGCTGTGGTCTGAAGGACAAGCTGGTAATCAGAATGCAAGAAGCACAACAACATGCAAACACCATGACATGGGTATGCACACACGGTAGTGTGCAAACAAATATGCAGGTGCATGTACAAGTAGCTCAGGATGGTGAATCTGCAGGGAATTGTAATGATGCCTTGTTCAGACATCAACGTGATAAATCGATATTAAGACCTTGGTGGGTAGTTTTCACCCATACAGAAAGAGATTTCAGGAGCACAGCCAGTGTTCACTCCTACCACCTAATAAGGTGTCGAATTTAAATCTGGTGTCTGATTCGTTTCCAGAAGATGAGTGGGAGCTGTGACGACATCAAACCTGTGAACTGCACCATCAAACCTCCGGTCTACCTGCAGATTGGAGACACCAAAACAGACGCAGCTCACTCTGGAGTCTGTGTTGTAGACGTCGCCCTCCCCTTTGGAAAGCCCGTCAGTGTAAGCTAACACCTACCACAGACAGCTGCTGATTTAATGCACAGCACCAACGGTTTCCATGTCAGACACCACATATTCAGTCACATCAATAACCTCTTTTCATCCTTCATCTCCTGCAGCCTGCCGTATAAACAACTGTTTAATTTAGCAAACAGACCAGAGTTAACCTCAGCTGTGGACACATGCTCCTCTTTACATGGCTACATGAGCTGCAGGTGGTGTAACACTGATTTGGAGGTTTTTAAAATAGCAGCCAGAGATGAGCAGAGACCCATGTGACCCTCAGGGTTAACTCTGGGTTTTCAGCGCCAGAAGCAGGTTCACTTTTTACCAGGATAAATCACAGTGGTAACTTATGCTGAACAGCTAACCTGCCTCGGAGCACCAGGACTCCTGCACCCACCCGTACCCATGAAGCTCAGTAACGTAACCAACTCATTACCTGTCATTATGTCTAAGTCAAAGCTGCACCTGTTAATAAAAGTCCTGTGACCCTCCACCCATGATCACACCCGCCTCCCCTTTGACCGAATGGTGAAAACATTCAGTCACTGCCAGGTTAGGATTTAACAGATTTTAAAATCCACGGTCGCTGTCTGTGTTTCAGATCAAGGAAATCACCTTTAAGAACTACTACACAGCCTATGTGACTGTACGGTTGCTGAGGAGGAGTCCGGGGCAGGAGGCCCCCGCCAAGTGGTGCACCGCCCTGAGAGACCTTCCTCTGATGGACAACCCCCACACTGAGGGCGGCTCCCAGGACTACTGCTCCATCCACAGGACACAGGTGGGCTGGAGCAGGTGTGTGTGTGTGTGTGTGTGTGTGTGTGTGTGTGTGTGTGTGTGTGTGTGCGTGTGCGCATATGGGTCACCATCATTAAGCCAGTTTTATACTTCTGTGTCGAGTCAACACTGTCTGAACCTTTATGAGACACGAGGATGTGTAAAAATGTGATGTGCTAGTGACCAGCTGTCCCTTGGCAGCACTCAGATATTGTTTATTCCTCCAAAGTGTGTGAACGACGAGTGCTGATCGCGAAATGTAACATTAGAAGATGATGTCATATCGACCTTGTGGTGGTGGTTTTGTTCAGCCGCTGACCACCCCTGAACATTTCTGTCTAGTTAAAGCTTCGTCTTGTTTCCTGGTGAACATGAAATGACGGCCCACTTCTCTACACAGCCGCAGCTCAACTTCACATCCAATCTGTAAACCAACAGATCCCATTGGGCATTAAACTAACAGGCTGTCGGAGCTCGGCGCCGTTTATTTCCCCTCTCAGCTGGCGTTGGAGATGAGCCAACCAACCCTACAAGAAAGCCTCAGTCTGCATTGTAATGTTGATATATGGAGACAATACAAACAGAGTGATTTCTCAGTTCTTGTTTATTCTCTATGCAAATAGAGGCAGATGGTGAATGGTGAATTAATTTTTGTTTACTTCAGATGGTCTCATATAGTTTAAAGGGTAACTGAAAGTGTAAGTGATGTTTATTTACTGTTTATGGTTATTTGTCATATTCAGCCTGTTCAGTAGATCCTGTTAGTGCACTGCTTCTCTGTCTCTGTGTGGAGACTGAAAAACTGTCATGAAAATATTTTTAGAGACCAGCAGTGTCTAATCAAGACCATCTTCAGCCCAGTTCAGACTGATGATACGTGATGAGACAAAACCGTTTCAGAACGTTGCAGAGTAAAGTTGCGGCAAGAATATATAGAATATTAGAATATTACACATATACTGCACAGCTTTTTACTGCGTTTTATTCTGAAAAATAAAAATTATTTAGAAACACTACCTCTAGTTTAACTGAATTGGCCACAGTGCACTCAAGTGTTGTGTGTTCTCAGAAGAGCTTTTTTTTCTGAAACGAGCATATTTGATGAATTCCTTGCAGCGGGAACGCTGCATATTTACACTCTGCTACAAATGCCCGCAGAGTTGAGGTCACACAACAAGCCACTGCAGCAAGCTGGAAATAGTTCACAGCAGCAGCAACACACGCGAGCACTGACCGCTGCAGCTGCCGTCACATTCAAAATAAACCGTCGTTCACTGTTTTTGTTTGTTGTTTTCCTACATGTCTTTTTCATTTCATTCCATTGAACGCTTTTTGTCTGGCCTTCCTCATGTTGGTCTCTGTTCCTGTGTGTGCAGATGCAGGTGGCGCCGGATCACGTGGTGTCTGTGAGACTGATCCTGAGACAGCCATCCTCCGCCTGGCTGACCTTCAGCCTCGAAGAGATCAAAATATTCCCTCACATGGAGCCGGTTAGTTTTTATTATTGTCGACAAACAGAAACTGTGTTCAGAACTTTTGACAATCAAAGTAAAGCAACATGACTCACAGAGTCAACGAGATGGCAAAGGTCGAATAACGTACTTGATGAGGTCTGAATGCCACCGAGAGTGGAGTAGTTATTCAGTCAGGTAACTGCTCCCCAGCTTTATGTACGTAGCATCAGTGTAATCATCCAGAGACTGTTTGATTTGTAGTGTAATTATGCTCCTGGCTTTAATTTTCTTTTTGCCAACTGTGCATCCAACACACAGTTTGCTCTCCAAACAAAGTGGGAGCCATTAGTTTGTCAGCTGGCTGTTACACGTAATGTGTTAGTCCAACGAGCACCGTGTCAGCTGAATGTTCAGAGCGCACACACATCAGGGCAGTGACACTCAGTGCTGACGTGAACTCTTATGATACAAAGACATATTGCTTCCTCCTGAGTGAAAACAGTGAGTGACTTCATCGGTCAAGTTTATTAGCAAATTCAATCTAAAATGATCCACAGGCAGACAAGATGGGGGGAGTCAAACCTGTAATAGACTCTTCTGTAAACACATCACAAACATGTCATCGCCTTTAAAGCTGATTTGGTGAACTGAGACTGTTCGAGCCAGAGGTGATCCCAGCCGACATTCCTGTCTTTAAAGGGTAACTTCAGTTTTAAACTGGATCCTATTTGTTTTTTGTGTCTAAGTGACAAATGGGAACAATAAAAAAACAATCTGGTCCAGTATTGAGTGAGAGGGCTGCAGCTGGCAGTGGCAAAACCACTCCAGGCATCTTCGCACTGTCAGTGTACATCCACGGAAAGTGTTTCTGTCAGTGACAGGCCCAGATTGTTATTCTAAGTGTCTGACAACATTATGGAAAGGATCCCTACAGAGAGAGAGCTTTGTGTTAAAGCCTGAGATTCTTTTTGTTGAATCAGAAACAGCCCTGAAATCACTCACGTCCAACCCTCCAGACTCCATTTAAATATACAGTCATTTTATGATCGTAAAACTAGAGCTGCCTCCTAACAGTCGACCAAGTGTTAGTCAGCCAGAGAGCACATTAGTCGTCAAGATTTCATTGGCCGCTTAGTTGCACAAAAAAAAAAAGTGAAACTCTATCAGGAGCTGCATCTCGTCATTGTCTCATGTTCTGACATTTTATCGACCAAACAACTGATCAATTCATGAAGAAAAAAAAATGGACGGATTAATTAGCTGCAGCCACATAGGTACGATGGTGTAGTGGTCCCAGGGAGGAGCCCTTCTGTGCATGTTCTCTCCGTGTCAGCGTGGGTTTTCTCCAGGCATTCTGGCTTCCTCCCACAGTCCAAAGACATGCAAGTTGGGGATAGGTCATTGGTGACTCTAAATTGTCTGTAGGTGTGAATGTGAGTGTCCCTGCCTCTCACCCAGTGTCAGCTGGGACTCCCCCCACGACCCTCAAGAGGATAAGCGGTTACGAAAATGGTTGAATGGTTGCAGCCACATATCTGTGAGAGGGTCAGAGGGATGATCAGCAGCAGCACACACAGCTGTCATTCTGGATAGAACCACTAGATGGAGCCAAAGTAAAGACCTCTTAGTCCACACAGTGGATTTAACAAACACATATTTAATAAAGCTGAATGATAACACTGTTAAACTCAGCCGTACAGTTTAAATGACATCAGCTGTTCCTCCTTCCAGGACCCAGAGAAGGAGGTTTCTGATTGGCTGTCTGACCTGACGCTGGTCGACCATCATCCTGACCTGCAGGTATACATTTTGTTGTGTGTGTCTGACTGTCTGTGTGAACAGGGTGGTTGCTACCACTAAGGACACTGAGGTCATGTGTTCAGTGTCTCTTCTGGGAGTGTGAAGGGTTTATGATCCTGGGAGAGTTTACAAAATACTGAGCTGCATTTTTTAACTCTGATGCTGGTATTTTTAGGCTTTTAGGCAAATAAATAAATAAAGGATTCATGAATTCTACACTAGACATGTATGTCTGGGAGTGTCCAGAATCTATGTCCAGATCTGTCCTCAATGCTGGAGAGTAATAATTTGCACATTCGAATGTTTTCTAATGAAATAACTGTTAAATAAATAATGTATTTACTTTGTAGACTAAATTTACCATTTACAATTTCACACTGGATCATCTGAAACCTTGTGTAAATGAATGAGTGAATGAAAGAATGAGTGAATGGGCTGCAGTGCACCGTGGCTTCCTCTGCTCTACATCTGTGTTCCTGTGTGTCTCATAGGGCCTCCCAGACCCCCAGACTGTATCATCCAGTATCCAGCAGATGTGGGCTCTGACTGAGGTGATGCAGACCAACCAGACCACAGCCTCCATCGGACGGTTTGATGTGAGTCTGAAACACACTGATCACCACCACTAACAGCCTGATACTGAACATACGTTTCAGAGGACACAGAGGCACCTCAGTGTTCCAGCCAATAAATAAATAAGGAGACAGTAAAGACATAGTTATAATGTGCAGTGGAGGCGATCTGGGTCTTTGTGGGGTTGCAGTTTGTGAAACGAGCACTTGGCCAACATCCCACAGAGGCGGGAGGAGGACGTAAGGTCAGACCCAAGGGAAGGCAGCAGGGGCGGCACAGTCCATTCCAGAAGTATATTTATAATATTACTACAGTCTGTACCTGTTCAGGGAAGTCCCTCACCTATCTGTTATTTACAGTTTAGTCACCGAGTGCTTTAGGCCACCCTGTCTGTAAACCTCTCAGCTTCTTTTACCTTATCCTCCATGAAGGCAATCAGCAGAGAATTCTGAACAAACATTAAATCCTTCTGACACATTTCCCTGAGAACCAGAATGGACAGTGGATACATTTTTTTTGTATTTCTACATGACCTGATTGAAGACAACAGCTGCTTCGAATAGTCTGAGAAAAAAAATAAAAGTCATACTATTAAAAAGGATGGGAAATAAGTAACAAATAAATATGTTCCGCAAACAAGGATTTTGCCAAAAAGACATTTCCTGGCGAGTCATAGCTCTGCAGATCAGCTCTTCAGGTGAGAAATCAAGTTTGATTAGTGGGCGTCCACTAGAGCTGCCCCCTGATAGTCGAGCAAATGTAGGTCGACCAGAAAGGTCATTAGTTGGCAAGATTTCATTGGTCACTTAGTTACAGAAAAAAAAGACACAACAAACAAATGTGAAACTCTATCAGGAGCTGCACCTTGTCAAAAAAAATGAAAACCTATATGACTGGACCGTGTGGGAATTTATTTTGAAAGGACAGACACAGGAAGTGTCCACGCTCAGCAGTCAGACAGGAGTCAGGTTAATCTCCAGGGCTGGTACCTGCGGTTATTCCACAGGCTAGTTAATAACATGTCGGGCAGGAAATCCAAAGTGTGGGATCATTTTGAGAAGGTGAAGGACGAACCCAAGGTGATATGTAAACTCATCTTCATTGGTCGACTACAAACGTGACGTATCATCTGAAACATGGAAGTAGCTACATGCCCATTAGCCCACAGCGTCATTAACAGGCGGCTCGCTCAGTGTGTGACGTGCACTTGGAGATAAAATATAGGCCTATATTAATGAAGGTTCATTAGTACGGTTTGTATTTCTCTGTAATGTAGCACAGTGTTAACAATGTTACTGATACTATTCTTTCTCACACCTTCAACTCAAACCACCAAAATATATCATTTTATCATTACATTCATATCAGATACATGCAGGAGACTAGTCCACTGATGGACCCTGATGAGGACTGTTGGTCCACTGATGGACCCTGATGAGGACTGTTGGTCAATGAGGAACAGTCTTAGTCGGGGGCAGGCCCAGTGTCCACACATGATTTTAAGCTAATGCAGAGGTGGAGAAAATACAGATCTTTAGTAAAGTAGTAATAACTTTGTGTGGTCTTCTGTTGACGAGCTGTAGTGCAACACGTTCTGTGTGTGAAAGGCACTTGATGTGTGATAAATCAACTCATTCCATGTGTTTAACAGAGTTCTGAGTTGTGATTTGCAACACATGCGCAACACATCTACCATGACAGCATCAGTGAGATGTCAGTCAAGTGTGACCTATATGTGTCTACAAAGAGATCTGATCAGTCAGAATAAGTGAGATCAGCTGTGTGAGTGTTCACAGCTGTTATGAAGACATGAAAGGAAATAAATCATGTGTCTCTGTTCTGTGTTGCTTCAGGTGGACGGATGCTACGACATCAACCTGCTCTCCCTGACGTAACATGGCCGTCGTGTTCTGACATGGAGCCCTCTCTGGAGCCACTGAGAGCAACAGAGGAAACGAACAAAAGAAAAAGTTGAATGTATGTGTTGCTAGAGTGACGAGGCATGATGTCACTTTAACTAATAAGAGAACTGTCATGATTTAAACCTCGATCACACCAAGACGCATCACAAGAGACATGACTGCTTCAAAAACACCTTGGCTGTGTGTCAGGCAAAACAGAGTGGTGCAGCTGTAGAGCGGGGCAGCGAGTGCAACCAGGTGATCAGATGTGATGAACAGAAACACAAATGTATCTCCTGTAATCTCTCCTACATGTTGTGTTGTATGTGTGTGTCTCTCTACAGTAGCCCACATGACATTATCACAACATGACATATTTATTTCCTCTGACTTTGTAACTGTCTCAATGTGGCTGTAGAAATTCAGAGTCCATGACTACACCAAGATTTCTGGCTTGTGTTGTGGTTTTTAACATTGAGCGGTGACTTTTGATTGTTCCTCTTCGGCTCTAAAAACAATGTCCTCAGTTTGTATTGTACCATAGTCCCCTGGTGATATGGTTATCTAAATTTGTGTGTCGTTTGTATAATTATAGGAACATAGTTTGTTATTTTTTCATAATCTGAGCCAATGAAAGCATGTAGATGTTAAACTGAAGAGGCCCCAGTATGGAGCCTTGGGGAACTCCACATGTCAGTTTTGTCTGCTCCGATGTGAGATTACCTACAGACACAAAGTAGTTCCTGTCCTTTAAGCAGGAATAGAACCTGTTTAGTAGTGGGCATAAAAGTCCCACCTAGTTTTCCAGTCAGTTTAGTAATACGTTGTGGTCGACCGTGTGAAACACGGCACTGAGATCCAGTAATGCTATGACTGAAATTCTGCCACTGTCTGTGCTTAAGTGGAAGTCACTGAAGACTATAACGAGAGCCGTCTCAGAGCTGCGGTGTGGTTGAAACCTGCCTGGAAGACATTAAAACAGTTAAAAAACACCAGAGAGGTTCTCCTGGCTGCTCATGCAACTCTGCGTATGTTCACCGATTCGTTTTTTAACAATGGAGTGCCCTTTATCGTAATTAGATACTGCTGTCTTTATAGTTCCTACCTACTTCATCTGCCAGCATCAAAACAGCAGTAAAGCCTCTTGCTTGATTTAATTGGCTGCCTGGGTCAAATGTGACAATGATGAGCGTTCCGACTCCTCACCTTGGGCTCAGAAGTCGGAATATTTTATCTCTTACATGCGCCAAAAAGTGCTCAAAAAACGCGACATGTGGTTCAAACAATGGTTTTGCTGGCAACACGTTTCTAGTGACGCATCTTGCTGTGATCGAGGTCTTATTGTGACATGTTTTTATTTTTATTTTTTTTAAATTTTGGTCATAAAACTACTTATATATATGCACCGAAACTACAGCATGTAAGGTGTTTAAATTATTTTCAGATAAAAGTATGTCATTGAGACGATACAATATTAACTGCACTTGTGTTTTTGGGCTAAAAAGTATACTTACTCAGAAAAAGCTTTAATCCTGCACACAGTGTCACTGTATGATTTTGACTAGACTCATTGTCAGGCATCAATATTAAGTATTCTTCTGTAACCTCCTGAAACCACTGGAGTACTTCATCCTGGTATTGTTTGACTGGTGTTTAGGTCGATGATGACGAATGTTAATGAGTCCCATTCATCGTGAAAACATCCTGAATACAATCATCTGTGGTTCTGACGAGACTCCAAATGTATAAAAATATTGGTAACAAGGGACAGAATTCTGCAGAGTGTTTATATTTAATGCCTTCCACTCTGAACACCGAGTGTGTCTCAAATCTCATACTTCTCATGTACACTACATACCTCTTGCGTTGTGCACTAATTGCAACAGGGTAGTGTTGTCTGTAATCACGCTCTGCACTGACTGGAAGTGACAACAGCTCTCTTTTTTAACCGCCTCTTCTTCTTCTTTGTCTTCTTTTTGAATTGCAAACAGGGTGGAGCATGATCGCATTAACACTTGATCTCCACCCACACATAAACCAAACTTACGCCACAACATCACTGCTGATTGAGATGTGCCGCTGTAGCTACGAGCAAGTTAGCTAGCTAGCGAATGCTAACGTTAGCACTCGAATTATTGTTTGCGGTGCCAAATCATCACAGACCCACAAACATCACTGACGGCTTCCATTCAACAACAGTTTTGGTACTTAGTGCAAAAAACATGTAGAACGACTCCTTGTTGTCTCCAGCCGCCATGTCAGAAGTTAAGAAGTTTGTGACGTCAGATAGATGGCAACCCTCGAGGGTGAGAGGTGTCCATCATTCCACTCTCAACTTTTACACCATTTTGGGTGCACCATTAGTGCGCTGCATTTTCTCGTACTACGCAGTGTGAACACACTCGTGCACTCAGAATATTCAGTGTTTGTACAGAAGTGTGAGATCTGAGACACACTGCAGGTGTTAGCACTGGATTATTTACCAGGTGTGTGTATCAGTACTGCTGACTTCGGTCTTTGTAAGGACCACCTCAGGTTAAAGACCCTGAGAGGACAGTTTTGGAATGTGAGGACATTTTGGTCCATCTGTCGTCAAGAAGCTGTGAAGGCAAGGCCAGGCAAGTTTATTTGTAGAGCACAATTCATACACAAAGTAATTCAAAGTGCTTTACAGAGCAAGAAAATGCTTTAAAATCACAATACAAAATAAAAACATAAATAATCATTATAAAATGAACTTTAAAAGAGCAGAGTGCAGATAAGATCCTTTCAGTCATATGCACAGTGAAATAGAGCTGTTTTGAGCCTAGATTTGAACATTGTCAGAGTAGAGGCCTTTCTCACATCTTCAGAAAGACTGTTCCAGATTTTAGCTGCATAAAACTGGAATCCTGATTCCCCATGTTTAGTCCTGACTCTGGGCACCAGCACGAGGCCGGTCCCTGATGTCCTCAGTGTCCGAGATGGTTCATATGGCACTAACATGTCAGAGATGTACTTTGGTGCTAGGCCGTGGAGAGACTTGTACACAAGCAGAGCTGCTTTAAAGTCTATTCTCTGAGCCACAGGAAGCCAGTGTAGAGACCTGAGCACAGGACTAATGTGCTCGTACTTCCTGGTTCTGGTCAGGACCCGAGCAGCAGCATTCTGGATGTACTGCAGCTGTCTTACGGCCCGTTTGGAGAGGCCAGTGAGCAGGCCGTTACAGTAGTCTAACCTACTAGAGACAAATGCATGGATAAGTCTCTCCAAGTCAGGTTTAGACACTATACCTTTGATTTTGGCAATGTTTTTTAGATGGTAAAAAGCTGCTGATGTTATTGATTTGATGTGGCTGTTAAAGTTCAAGTCTGAGTCCATTATTACCCCGAGATTTCTAACCTGATTTGTAGGTTTTAGAGAGAGAGACTGGAGGTGACTGCTGACACTTTCTCTTTGTTTCTGTGGACCAAATACGATGACTTCAGTCTTGTCTGAATTTAGCTGGAGAAAGTTGTTTTGCATCCACACACTGACCTGTTGGATGCAGTGACAGAGTGAATCCATTGGTCCATATTCACCTGCTGTCAGTGAGACATAGATCTGAGTGTCGTCTGCATAGTTGTGGTAGGACACATTATTACTTTGTATTAACTGGCCTTAAGGCAGCATGTAGAGATTGAACAGAAGGAGTCCCAGGGTTGACCCTTGGGGCACCCCACAGGTCAAGGCCATGTGGTCTGAGACACAGTTACCAATTTCAACAAAGTACTTCCTGTCTTCTAGATAGGACTTCAGCCAATTTAGGGCAGTGCCAGAGATGCCCACCCAGTCCTCTAGTCTCTGTGAAAGGATCTCATGATCGACAGTGTCAAAAGCAGCACTCAGATCTAGCAGGACTAAAACTGAGACTTTGCCTGCATCAGTGTTCAGGCGGATGTCATTTGTCACCTTAATAAGAGCGGTCTCAGTGCTGTGATGGGGTCTAAAACCTGACTGGAAAACATCAAAGGAGTTGTTCATTAGGAGAAAGTCAGTAAGCTGTTGGTAAACAACTTTCTCAAGGACTTTGCCTAAAAACGGCAGATTTGAAATGGGCCGGTAGTTGTTCAGTACTGTGGCATCAAGACTGCTCTTCTTTAGGAGAGGCTTTATGACTGCAGTTTTCAAGGCCTTTGGGAATGTTCCAGATTGTAGTGACATGTTAACTATGTGAGCGAGTGGTGGTAACAAACTGCTCAGCACAGACTTTAGAAATCTAGTGGGTAACACATCGAGGCAGCATGTAGATGAACTCAGACTGGTGATGATCTCTTGGACAGTTTTGTCAGTTACAGGTGAAAATTGAGTCAGCTCTAAGTGTCTAGGTGGCTTCAGGGTTGTTATTGGTGTTGTGGAATTGATGGCATTTTTAATGGTCTGAACCTTGTCGCAAAAGAATACTGCAAACTTAGATGTGGAGATCAGTTCCAACGGCAGTTGAGCTGGAGGGTTTGTTAATCTGTTCACTGTTGCAAATAAGACACGCGAGTTGTTACTGCAATTTCCAATAATTTCAGAAAAGTACCTCTCCCTTGTTCTACATAAGATCTGGTTGAACACGTACAACTTTTCTTTATAAATTTCATAATGAACATGAAGCTTTGACTTGCGCCATTTCCGCTCAGCCCTCTGGCACTCCCTTTTCTGTGCCCTGACCGAGTCATCATTCCTCCATGGCGCCTTCTGCTTATTTTTAACCATTTTAACCTTCACAGGGGCAATGGTGTCCAGAACATTCTTCTCACAACTTCTCTCCATGTGTTGCGCTTTATTTAATGGCCTCACCCACCACTGCCGTCTACAACAGCTCTTGAAAGACATATTATTATTATTTTTTGTTGAAACTTTTGACTCCGCCCTCTAGTGCCATCTACTGGCCAACATAAAGGACACATCCCAGCCTGTGTGATTAACACAGTGTGTGTGTGTGTGTGTGTCTGTCTGTCTGTCTGTCTGTGTGTGTATCTGTCTGTCTGTCTGTCTGTCTGTGTGTTAGAATGACAGGAAAAGGAGGCAGTATTGTTCTTCCTCTGTGGTGTTATTTGCAGCTCATGTTGTCACACACCAGTAAACACTAATACTGCAGTCTTTGCTGTGCGAAGCATCACTGAGCACTTATCAAACATTATTATTATTATGGTGGGATTCACGAGGGAATACGGCACATAGACTCTATTTAGCAGCTGCTGCTGGAAAAAAAAAAACTCTCAGAGGTGCTTCTTAAAATATTTCAGCTGCATAAAGAGCAGAGCAGTGTTTTAAATTCTCACGAGATTCCATCAATGAATCT